CGTCACGTGGTCATGTGACTCGCTGACGCAACAATACTTTTGTAAAAACCAATATGAAACTTATTGAGTTAAATTATAATTTAAATACTGTTATATCTATACGTATACACGAAATGTGTAAGTTTAGGCTATTATTTAAATAATGTTATATCTACATGAAATGCGTAAGTATGGGTTATAATTTAAATACTGTTATAACAATAAAACCTTTAAGGATGAATTAAGATTTCTAGACTTCACTAAGCTTAAGCTTGTTTGCTATTATACCACCCTGAAGCAAGTGAGGCTGAGTAACAATTTAAGTACTGTTATGCCAACATAACATTTGTAAGATTTATTATAGTTAGATATATCCATATCAACGTGAGATTCCTGCAAAGACCATCGACCCAATAAAGTAAGAACTAGTACTCAACAAGTTTAATCTAATAAGTTTTATTCAGTCAAATGAACACGGATTTTGTGTGCATATATATATATATATCGTCATCGATTACGTTATGTAGTTGTTATTTATAGTTGCATAGTGTTAATTTATATCCTAATAATACTGAAACTTAATAATCCTGTAATATAACAGTCTTCAAATAAGACAGTCACTACTTACTCACTGGACAAGTACAAGAAACCATAGATATATATAAAACAATAGATTGGAAGTCACGTGATTTTCGCCATGAGCAAGTGGCCGCCATTGCTATGTATTGAACTTTCAAAGCTCGCCTATAGAACCGACGATGGCAAGGCGATCTCACCTCACAACTTATGGTCGTTTTCCATCTAAACTAGACGTTTGAATAATTTTGTTATTTGATTTTAATAAATTTGTCAAGCCAAGATGATCTAAACCTGATTTTAATTTGGCAATTAGTGCAAAATTCGTCCTCAAAACACACACTTAACCTATCGTATGAAGAATGCATTGGATTTTAACCCAAAGGGAAATTTTATAATTAAAATCTGGTCTTTTTCCTCGGTGTTTATTATGTGTCACAGAAAAATATTGTTACGACAGCGGAAGTCACGTGACGAGTTTCTAGAAGGATCATGAAGGCCCGAGTGTTTGCCAGACGCCCTCTATTTTAGTATATAAGCCCAGCAAATAATAGCAGATAGAGAGAGATATAGAGACAGATAATTGAGTCAAGCGAGCGGTAGTGACCGTAAGTAAAGTGCGTGAATCGTTGTGAATTATAGCATGTGTTGAAGTTAAAGTGACTGTGGAAATTCTGTGTATTGCAAAGTTGTATTGAGAAAGAATAACCTAGTTTTATTTAAAAAAGGACTTGTATCGCTGAAGTTCCTCCGGGAGAATTTATACCGGAAATTAACAAACGACCAGAGACGTAACAATACACATCTCAAATATTGTTACCAATGAACAAGAGGTGGCACATGTCCCTTTCTTTGGGGTGGGGGAGAAGAATGTTATTTATGTATCTGCACCTGCAAACATTCAAAGTACTGAATTGAAGTAGACGGAATTAATTAAGAAATTATAATATGAATATGGTAACATTCATTCGGGTTTATTTGAGAATTTGTAGCAAAAAGCGATACAAATGCTTGAAAAAGGGACATAGGCCTGACTTTTCCAACTGAATACAGTTCACTACAGTAGATTAGTTTCAAGAACATTGTAGGAATATATTTATCTACAGCATAATCAACAATTTTCACCATTAAATGTACAATTCATAATCATGTGTTAACCAAATTTTGCTATTTCATATAAGAATCATCTCTGCAGTATTGTATTTTCACGGGAATTGAACCCAGATTCTCTAGAAGGAGAGTTGAACATTCTAAAGCTAGACCACGAACACATCTTCAATTAATAAATATCATTAAGGTCTAAATACCAACCTTTTTAACTTGTTCTTCAACCGCTCCTGAAGTTGAAGTTGTGTCGTCATTTTCTTCTTCATTTGGCAGGTCTTTTGTTCTTGTGTTTGACTTTCGTTTCACTGCTTTCTGAAGCTATAACATTATGCATGTACAAATTATGACTTTGAATACATCTTATCTTGAGTATTTATGTCAAAATAAGCTTTAACAATAGTGAATATTCAAGAGTATAACCTGAAGGTGTTCAGGTAATTTGAAGATTGTGGTAACTGCATCTTCTCGTAGATAGTGTTACGACAGCGGAAGTCACGTGACGCTAGTAACACGTCATGAACTTCTAGAAGGATCCTGTCCCTTCCTGAAATCTCGGGAGGTTACTAGATATGCGGTATTCTTGTA